TGGGACACCACCAAGTCATTGGTTCAGGTATGTTGACGACACCTGGGTTAAAATCAAATCTCAGGAAGTCCAACATTTTACTGACCACATCAACTCTGTGGATAAATACATCAAGTTCACACGAGAAGATGAAAAAAATGGCAGGTTGGCTTTCTTGGACTGTGAGGTCTCAGTCTCTGATAGAGGACGTTTGCAAACTGAGGTGTACTGCAAACCCACCCACACAGACCAGTATTTGCAGTTTGACTCCCATCACCCTTTGGATCACAAGTTAGGAGTCATCAGGACTCTGTACCACAGAGCAGACAGCATCCCCACTAACTCCTTGATCGAGTAAACCTGGATGGTCCTCCTTTTGCATGTGAACAACTATTTCTGGATGTCACCAGATGAGAAGGGACTATTTATAAGACAGAGTTTGTTGCAGCTCCTCAGACTGAAGAAGTCCTTTGGATAAAAGAAAAAACATTTCAACAAAGAAGAATCGTCCAGAGGACTTGACTTTACTTTGTTAGATTTATCTACTGGATTTCCCGGTGGTATAAGTTGCATCTTTTTGCATAAATTAGCATGCCTGAGGCTTATACAGCAAAGTGACATATTTATGTTTTTTCCCATATTTATAACCAATTTTTGGCTGAAATTTGACGATTTCATTCATTTTGATATGGAAAATATTGAACACTACCATTTTCAGCCACTAGAGGGCCCTTGAGTAATATACCATACCATTTTATTTATAAAGCACTTAAAACAACTACAAGGCCAACCAAAGTGCTGTACAGACAGAAAAACAGACAACACACAAAGCAAAATACAAAATGAGGTAAATCAAAAATATAGACATAAAAACGATGCAGATAATGACGATAAACCAGTGTGGAGCATACAGGATCAAAACACAGATCATCTTGTGTTGAAAGCTACTGAATAAAAGTGAGTTTTTAAATGGGATTTGAAAACTGAGAGGGGGGGGGGCCTGTCTGACAAGCAGAGGTAACTCGTTCCAAAGTCTTGGTCCTGCTACAGAGAAGGCCCTGTCACCTCTAT